CTGCCGAGAGATCTGCTGTTAGTCTGATGGGCTTCCCTTTGTGGGTAACCCCACCTTTCTCTCTGGCTGCCCTTAACATTTTTTCCTTCATTTCAACTTTGGTGAATCTGACAATTATGTGTCTTGGAGTTGTTCTTCTCAAGGAACATCTTTGTGGCGTTCTCTGTATTTACTGAATTTGAATGTTGGCCTGCCTTACTAGGTTGGGGAAGTTCTCCTGGATGATATCCTGCAGTGTTTTCCAACTTGGTTTCATTTTCCCCATCACTTTCAGGCACACCAATCAAATGTAGATTTGATCTTTTCATGTAATCCCATATTTCTTAGAGAAAAACGAGTAAAAAGAAATGAACAAAGCCTGCAAGACCCAGTGGTTCTTAATCCGGGGTGTTCATTAAAATGCCAGAAAATGGAAAAAGACTTATAGGTCCTGTCTGAGGAGATTTTGCTTCCAAATGACCGGCTAGTGGACTGGCCATTGGTGTTTTGGAAAAGCCCTCCAAGAGATTCTATTACTTACACCCCAAATAGAAAACTCTAAATTAAAGGGGGAAAAAAGGGACACCAAGTAGCATTTAAGTAAATGTCAACTCTAATTCCACAAAGCATGTGATTGCAGGTGGACAGAAAGAGAAGGAAAGAGGGCCCTATATCTGGATAACTTAGAAATGTGCTCCCCCTAGCAAGATATCTACCAAAATTAGAACTGTATTTGAGGATGCTGGCACTGCGAGCAATATATAAATGATGCGTGTAATGTCCTCTAATATGATTGTATTTTTAAAAAAGAGTTGAGTGGTGTTTTCTAGCTCTCAGTTTTTCCAAATATCAATATAGAAATTAGTCTTCTGCAGCTGCAGAGGCAATTCAGTTTCCAGCTTGCTTTCATGTAGCCTAGAGCCATAACATGGCCCAGAGCATCACTGATCCACCCCTCCCAAAACCACCTAATCCAGAGACAACTGAATGCCTTGGACCGTCTGGTGAGAGAGGTAGCTGCGTGGCAGTAAGAGTCCTGCTCTGAAGTGACAAGAGCCTTAAGGCCTAGTTTTGACTTACTGCTAACTTGCTGACACTGCATACTTGCTGAGTGATCTTGGGTGAATCCTTTCACCTCTCTGAGGTTCACTATGAAATGACAGGTCAAGAGTCCAAATTTTAACACCTTCAGAGGCTGGGTAATATCAGTGAGTAAAATGGACCAGGCACAGCACAAAGTGGAATGGTGCAGACTGGGGAAAGTGAAGAACTTATGCCTCTGTAAAGGGGGCAGCCACCACTCAGTTCCTGTAGATTACACTGTCTTTGCTGAGGACGGTTGCACAGGGAGTGCACTGCAGAAGGATAACACTTTACAGAAGGTGTCATTTGCATCACAGATGCAGACATTTATCCATGGCAGTTTCTGAAGATGTCTGTAGAAGGTTTTGAGGAAGGGGCACCTTGTAATTTGCATAAAAGGTTTTGTATGGACCTCCAGAAGTGCTGGTTATCATGTGCGAATGTAGCTCTGTAATAGTATCTTCTGGGTTTTCTTGTTATTGTTGTTTCCTGAAGAAGCTGGAAATATGGCATTTAATGTGAAATTTCCCTAATTTAAAATTTGCTGGCCACAAATTCCAAAACATATTTAACATTGTGTGGGCCAAACAAAACACTTCAGGGGGTCAGATTCAGGCTCCGAGTTGGAGATCTTTCACCCAGATGAGTTACTGGCATCTCAGAAACCCTCCTATTCTATGCATCTTATGTAATCTTGAGCAATCATGAAGAAAAAATAATGACCCTGGTGAATTATATGGATATAATATGGATTATGTGACTATACAAAGTAAGAGTGCATCCTTTGAATGACGGTATTTAACATTCTCCCTACCCTGTGACTAATTTTGATTTGTCCTTTCTTAATGTAAATGCTATTTCTCCAGAGAGAGCCTCCTAAGACTTTAATCTAACTTAGGTTGCCTCTGTTACACTTTCTTGAAAACACCTTATTCTCCTGAGTAACACCTATC